AACTAAACATTTGTTAAGTACTTCTTATGTACCAGGCACTCTGCTAAGCACTGGTTTACAATTAAAGCNGACAAGATATAGAGATAGATAGATAGATAGATAGATAGACAGACAGACAGACAGACAGAGAAACTAAGCATTTGTTAAGTACTTCTTATGTACCAGGCACTCTGCTAAGCACTGGTTTACAATTAAAGCAAGTAAGATAGTCCCTACCCTCCAGGAACTTACATTTTAATGAGGGAAGACCACATTAATGAGGGCACTGCAAAATAGGGCAGGGAGGGCAGAAGCAGACCTTTGGTGAAGTGGCTGGAGATGTCTGGAAATTGTAATGAGATTAGGGAGTGCAGGTAGAGGCCTAGAACTGAACAAGACTAAACTAAAGCTGTCCCATCAAAGTTCAGAGTGGTTCCGAGGGTGGATTTCCATTCTCAGACAGGGGAGGAGTGGAATGAACGTCCAATGCAGTGCAGGCAGTATGGCTAGAGATAGATTGAAGAAAAGGCAGAGTCCCTTGAAGCTGTGAAGTTGCTTCCAGTCTAACAGCGATGACTAAAGAAATGTGTATTAAAAATATGACATATACAACAGACACAGAGAAGCACATATGGACCATCAAGGTGTTTGAAGCACAATATTTACTAAGAGTTTGGAAGATACAGGTAGAGGAAGAGTAGAGTAATCAAGGCTATGTGAAGTGTTTCAGGGAAGGCATTCCAGAAGATAGATCACTTAATTAGAGCTTTGAAAATGGAAGAGGAGATACATAATTTGGCAGCAAAGGGAACGGAAGGCATCTCAACTTGGAGGAGTGACCTGCCTGTTAGAAGTGAAAACTAGTGTAATAAATGTTACTGGAGAGATTCTATAATGATATTGAGTTCTATATTTTTTTGCCTTTCTTCTCAAACTCATAATACTTATGAGTTTTTTTTTCATACATATTCAAAGTAATCTTCAAACAGGCAGGATAAGGATTGTATTCCTATATTTGTAGATTGTAAAACAAAGCAAAACAAAACTAAACTGAAGCCTGGAATGCTAGGCACATAAGAACTATACATGCTTGTTGACTTGACTCCATGGCCACATGCAAAGTCAGGAGAGAACTCAGGGCTGTAAGGCATGTCCTTTCTCCCAACCCAGTTAAGATGACAGGGGCTCCCTCTGTCAAATTCGATGCTAAACAAGATACTTTTTCTTCTCTGGAACCCAGGAAGATACAAGCTTTTTGTGTACTTGGGGGCAGAAAGAAGAAAAGTGTCCATGTTCCCCATGTAATTCGCTACCCCTTCGACATTTTCTTATCTATTAATGTGAAGGGTATAAAGCGTCCCATAGCCAAGAGAAAAGTCTAACAGGAGGGATACTCTTGTATCATTATCAGCTCTGAGCAGATCTGGGCTTCCCATAGCAAGCTAATCAGGCCTTCCCAGCCAGCTCCTCTCCGCCCCACCGCATCATCACCAGAGCCAACTCCTGGGCATGACATCAGCCTCTTCAACTCTTTCTCTTCTTGACTCTATCCTTGACTCAGACTTCAAAGTAATTTTCTTAAAGCACAAGTCTGACCATGTCATTCCCTTGATCAATACGCTTCAGTGACTTAGGGTCAAATGCAAACTTTTCTATTTGGCATTTTGCCTTTTGCAATCTGGCATCAGCTACTTTTCTAGTGTAATGCATTAGTTCCTTAACACTCTAAAATCCAGGTAAATTTCTTTCTGTACCTCATACAGGATGTTCCATCTCCCGGTTTCCTGTCTTTGTGCTGTCTTTCCTTCCTTCCTGGAATGTACTCCCTTCTTACCTCCACCACTGAAAATCCCTGGCTTCCTTCAAAACTCAGCTCAATTTTTACCTTCTCTATCAAGTTTTTCCTGATTATCCCAGCTGATAGTATTTTCTGCATTCTTCTACCACAAAAAGTTATCCTATAATTTATATTTTGCATTAAAGGTAATGTGGTGGCTTGGGTTCAAGTCTTGCCCCTAATACATACTGACCATGTGACCCTGGGGCAAACATTTGAGCCACTCAGTGCTCCAGGCAACACTTTAACAAAAATGGTTTATAGGAGCAGCTGGGTGGTTCAGTAATAGATCATGGGCCCTGGAGTCAGGAGAACCTGAGTTCAAATGTAACCTCAGACTTTACTAGCTATGTGACCCTGGGCAAGTCACTTAACCCATATTGCCTCCAAAAAAAAAAAAAAGAAAGAAAGAAAGAAAGAAAAAAAGAAAGAAAGAAAGAAGGAAAGAAATAAAAGTGGCATATAGACATTGGTAGAGGAAATTCCTCACTGAGAGGAATTACTCTATACTGCTAAAATCCAGTTAAAAAAAAATCCAGGACATCATATATTATATAGCTATAACTATAGCTATGTACATCTCCATATTTGCATGTATATACATACATGTATGTTGCTTCCCTGAGAGATATAAACTCATCGAGGGCAGGGACTGTTTCATTTTTGATTGCATCTCCAGACCCTGACAAAATACTTGGCAAATGATAAACTCTTTCTAAATACTTCTTCAATTGACAGGAGGTGCTGGGCTTCCTTTTCCTGCAAGTATTCTCAAGTTAGATTCTAAACTCTGACTAATCTTGGAACCTTGACAACCATACCTTTGCTCAGGGTGAGGGTTTTATGCTCTTTGATGGTTTTTGCCGTTTTAGCAACCATTTTATCAGCTACTTTTCTTTTACATCTTATTCTTCCTTTCTTCAGAATTAATTCTCATTTTCAAAAAGGTTCTAAAAACCTGTCTGATGAAGAGATTAGCTAATGACTAAATTTCATTCAGTCTAGTCTTCCTATCAAAATCAGAAATAATTGCATTCATTTTTCTGGGGCCACAGAACAAGCAGGCAAATTCCCATGCCAAAGATTAGTTAACCATTCCAGGGTGGTAGGCCATTGCTACCTTGACTCCTGCATCCCAACTCCATCAAAAAATCCAAAAAGTACTGATTACTAGGCAAGTCACCAAAAAAAAAAAAGCCTAATTATCTTTGGGGTTGATCCTGCATCTGCCCAGATGCTGTCCCCATTTTTACAAGTTTCCAGAGAAACTTTCTGGCTGACATGAAAATATGAATATCTCAATATGAAATAGCAAAAGTATTGATTAGAGCTCATATTTCTCTAGTTCTTTACAATTTACTAAGTACTTTTCTCAAGAACAACCCTGTGAGGTAGCTAATATAGTTATTACTTCTGCCATGTTACAAATGAGGAAATAGAGTCCTAGAATGGTTAAGTGACTTGCCAAGGCAATATAGCTAGTAAATGGTGAAGTTTATATTAAAACTCAGTTTTTCTTATTCTTAGGCCAGTGTTCTTTCCATTATATCTTGGTTGTCTCATAAATATACTACCTGGCTTATATAAGAAGCTTAATAAATGTTTCCTGATTATAAAAAGATGACATCCATCTGATAATTTTACTAATAAAATTTCCAGAACATTAACTGCAGTTTGCATTTCTTTTCAAATATAAGTACAGAAACATATTTATCAAATTATCTACCATTTTGAATTATCTATGTCACTATTCTCCACAAATAAGAGCTGGCTGGATTTACTAATAGAAATTGCATAGAGCTTTGCAAAGCCTTGTCTGGATCTGAGGGATGTGGCATTTACCTTTCTGATCCCTAGCCTCAGGAAAATATTTAGGGAAGAAGAGATCTCAATCTGACTTCAAAAGAGCAGACATTCAAGAAACTATCAATTCTTTCTATCCAGCTTTGGTCATGCTGATTCCTCTACTTCATTTCTGGCCATATTTAAAAGACTGACAAAAAAAAAAAAAGCCTGACCTCACCATTTACTACCTATTAATAGAGAAAATAAACACAGAAGCAGTATTCTTTATCATACACATGTAATGAGCCATTTAATAAAATTTTATTAAGGATTTACTATGTGCCAGGCACTGTGCTAAGCACTGGGGATACAGAGAAAGTCAAAAGGCAGTCCCTGCCCTCAAGGAACTCATAATCTGATTAGAGAGATAAGCAAACAAATACGCACAAACAGCTATATACTGGATAAATAGGAAACAACCAAGAGAGAGAAAGCACTAGAATTAAGAAGGATTCAGTTAGGCTTCCTACAGAAGGTAGGGTTTTAATTGGGACTTAAAGGAAGCCATGGAAGCCAGGAGGGGGATATATGCACACAGTGGAATCATACACTTATAGTGCTTAAAGCTTTCTAGTTTCTACTTTCTAGCAGCTACCCCATTCCAGTTAACTGGAAGAGCATGTGAAAATCTTTGACTGGCACATATATTTTTTGATGGCCCCCTTAATCTCTTTGTTTCTCAGACTGTAAATAATGGGGTTGAAGAAAGGCGATAACACAGCAAACATCAAAGTAATAGTAGTGTCCCAAAAAAAAGAATACTTGGCATTGAAGCGTAGGTACATGAGGGCTACACTTCCAAAAAAGGTCAAGAAAATAGCAAGATGGGAGGCACAGGTGGAGAAGGCCTTGCGACGCCCCTCAGGTGATCGGATTCTTAGAATCACCCCGATGATCTGGATGTAAGCCAAAGACACCAGTGAAATGGCTGAGATGATCTCCATGGCATGGACAATATCCACGACCTTAATTAACATGATAGAGCCTGTGTCTACACAAGCTAGGTTCAGTATGGGGTCAAAGTCACAGAAGATGTTGTTAATTTGGTTTGGACCACAAAATGGCAGTGTGGAAATCCAAGCAATTTCAGGGAGTGGAGTAAAGAAACCAAAGAAACAGCAACCCAAGGTCAGTCGAATATAAAGCTGTGAAGTCATGATGGTTGGGTAGCGGAGAGGGTAGCAAATGGCCAGATATCTATCCATGGCCATGGTGGTCAAGAGGTAAACTTCAGTGATACCAATGGAATGGAAGAAATACATCTGAAGGAGGCAACCAGCAATGGAGATAGTCTTCTGCTCACTTATCAAGTTGGTGAGCATCTTTGGGATGGTTGTCGTGGTGTACCATATCTCCAGGAAAGCAAGGACACCAATGAAGAAGTACATGGGTGTGTGGAGGCGAGAGTCTAGAATGACAGCAACAAAGACCATGGAGTTGCCTATGATGATGAATAGGTAAATGAAGAGCAGGAGGATGAAGAAAAGAAAACCACCCTCCTGGAAATGGGAGAATGCAGTGAAGAGAAATTCAATAACCACCGTCTGGTTCTCATTCTCCATCCCCTTAGTGACATGACCTTTGAAGGCAAAATAAGAGACATGGAGATTTCTGGAACTCCAATCCAGACAATGAGATATGCTTGCTAGTTTTTGCTCTCTGATAAGATAATAGTTCAATTGTTTCATGTTCACTATTATGTTAGGGCCCCGAATACAGCATTCCTCTACTTCCCAATAACCCATTATCTTCTCCTAATGGCAACAAACATTGAAATAAATGTACGTAATAGAACTTATATTTATCAGGGTGACACATAATATTCAGACTTCCTGACTTGCCTGCCTTTTCTTCTGCTTATTGACTTCTATCTTCTATATTGGCCCCTTTCTTATTTAGAATAAGAGAAAAAAAAGTGTGTATATGTATGTATATATATGTGTGTATGTGTATACACACATGTATACACATATGTGTATATTTATACACACATGCATATATGAAAAGAGAAAGTGTTATTCATGTTATTCATAGGATAGGTATCTTATCCTGATATGTTAGCATCCTGGCTCAATGGCTCTGGAAGCTCTGAGCTGACTATTGAGAGCTAATGAAAAACGCTAGAAGTCAGTGTGACCATTCTTCATTCTTTCCTTCCTTTCTTCCTTTCCTTCATTCAACAAACTATCATTAAATCTTCTATATGTGAGGTACTGAAATAGGTGAAAGGGGAAGTACACATACAAATTAAAAATAATTCCTGACCCCAGGGAAGATGATTACAATCTGCTGAAAGGAGATAAGAAATGTTGCAAATATCAATAATGCAAAATACAATATGATAAGGGGAAAAAGAAAGAATTAAAAACAAAGTCCCCTGAAGGCTCAGAGAAAGTAGAGATGATGTCTGGCCAGACGCAACAAGAAAGGCTCCACAGAGACGATATCATTTGAACTGGGCTTTCCACGAAGGAGGGGAGAGAACTCCATATGCAAGGAACAGCAGGAGCAAAGAAAGACATACGGGTACAGGAAGAGGAAGTAGTCCAGTTTGTCAGTGGCTTAAAGTGCTGAATAGAGTCAAGAAAACCTGGAACTGAGTCCTATCTTCAACAATTTCTAATTTTATTCCAGCAATCAATCACAATCACCTGAAGTCTCAGTTTCCTTATCTGTAAAATGAGGGTAATTATACTTGCAATACCTACTTCATAAGACTTATGCAAAGAAAGTAATTTGAAAATTTTAAAGCACTCATTGTAAATCACAAAGAACTCTTATTATCATATAAGAAGGAGTACTGTAAAGTTTGAAAGATAAATTAAAATCAGATTGTGAATCAACAAAAAATTCTGGCAAAACTAAAAAAAGGTAAATCTCAAAGAAACTAGGTTTAAACTAGGACTGTACACCATATACAAAAGCAAATTCCAAATGGATTCATTACCTCAGTAGAAGACTTTATTATAAATAAATTTAGACGAGAATGGAAAGATATACCTTTCACAACAACAATGACAGNTAGGTTTAAACTAGGACTGTACACCATATACAAAAGCAAATTCCAAATGGATTCATTACCTTAGTAGAAGACTTTATTATAAATAAATTTAGACGAAAATGGAAAGATATACCTTTCACAACAACAATGACAACAACAATAGCTAACATTTGTATAGTGCTTATTAAGTGCCAGGTACTATGCTAAGTTCATTACAATTATTATCTCACTTGATCCTTACAACAACTCTGGGAGGTAGGCAGTTATTATTATACTCATTTTATAGATAAGAAAACTGGGGCAAACAAAGGATAAGTGACCTGCCCGTGGTTGCATAGGTAGTTAGTGTCTGAGGCTAGATTTAAACTCAGATTTTCCTGACTATAGCTCTGATGCTCTATCCACTGTACCACCTAGCTTCCCCCTAACTATGGTTATAAGAAGAATTTTTAATGAAACAAGTAAGAAAATTGAAGCTAAGATAGACCATTTTAACTACATAAAATTGAAATGGTTTTGTATGAAAAAAATCAATGCAGCTAAAATTAAAAATGAAGTAATTAATTGCAGAAAAAAACTGTGTAGCAAATACTGCAGATAAAGGTCTAATATCAATGTAATGTAGAGAATTGAAACCAATATAAGAAGGAGTCATTCCCTCAGTAGATAAGTTATCAAAAGCTATAAGAATGTGAATAAGCAGTTTTCAAAAGGAGGAATACAAACTATCAAGAATCATGTGAAAGAATATTCCAAATCATTAATGAGAGAAATTCAAATTAAAACTCTGAGGTTTCACTTTGCACACATCATATTGGCAAAGATATGACTGAACAAATTATAGTATAGAGAATTCAGAAAATCTGGGAATACTTGCATGAACCAATACAAAGTGAAATGATCAGAATCAGGAGAAAAATTTAGATGATGACCCCTAACAATGTAGAGGAAAACAACATTGAAAGACTTCAGAACTCTGATGAATATGGCAACCAGTCATAATTTCAGAAGACTGGTGATGAATCAATAATACTTCCCATCTCCTAGAAGAAAGATGATAGATTAGAGCAGGGTCTAGTATGTCCAACAGACCATAGTTTGCTGACCCCTGGTCTTGAGGTGCAGAATAAAGCATACATTTTTATACTCAACTAATTTGCTGATTTGTTTTGATTAACTATAGTTATTTGCTAGAAGGGGAGGATCCAGGAGTGGAAAGGAAGATGACAATGGGAAGTGACGGAGATGTGAAAAAGAAACAAAAAAAAAAAACATTAATAGAATATATACAGAGGAAAACCAAAAAAAAAGATAATCTAGAAGGGGACATAAACAGGAAATTTTTGTTATTACTTTGATAAGTTTAAACTTTAAAATAACAATGAAAACCCAAACTGTATATAACAGAAGTTTATAGTTTCTTATACAATCCTTTCTAAAATAAAAATGTTGTATATTATAATGTCCTATTTTTTACAGATTAAGTTAAAAGTTTAAAAAAAAGAATCAGATTTAATGAATGCCTAAATAAGGTATTTGAACTTCATTCCATTAGCAATGGGGAGAAATTAAATAGTTTTAAGCAGAAGAGTGATGTGATTTGAGCAGTACATTAGGAAGATGAATCTGGCATCTGGTACTTCTGGGCTGGCACTCCTTTACACTTACCAGCTGACTCATTCAGGGAAAAGGAAAGATTCTTGGCAGTCAGTGAAGGTACTGACCATATAGAAGGAGGAGTGAATGCCCATTTCGCCCACCTTTTACTACTCCACCATAGTTTGTATAGACCTTTATTCTGCATTATCTCAGCCAGGATTTTCTCAAGAGCAGCCCTACTGGGACCACTCATAAGAGTCAAAACTCACTTACCTGGTGGGCTAAACCTGGGAACCTAATTCTCTTCTTCAAAATAATACTACTGAGAAAAAAAATGTGACTGACTATACTAAATATAAACAAATCCCATATGAACAGCAGAGGAATTAGACTACCCATATAAAGCTAATTGGAAAAAAAAATCTCTAATGCACACATACATCACCATGGTTGTGTGCCCTCACGTATTGAAAAGGGAAGGGGAAAGGAATAACATTTTTATATCACTCATTATGGGCCAGACATTGTGCAAAGAATTTTTACAAATGTTATATAATAGGGCCAGATGGATTTACAAGTGAATTCTACCAAACATTTATAGAACAATTAATTCCAATATTATGTAAACTATTTTGAAAATAGGCAGAGTCCTGCCAAATTCCTTTTATGACACCTTTTATGACAAGGTGCTGATACCTAAACAAGGAAAAGTCAAAACAGAGAAAGAAAATTATAGGTCAATTTCCCTAATGAATATCAATGCAAAAATTTTAAATAAAATATTAGCAAAGAGATTATAGCAATTTATCAACAAGATAATACACTTGTGAGGTGAGATTTATACCAGAAATGCAGGGCTGGTTCAATTTTAGGAAAACTATCAGCATAATTGACCATATCAATAACAAAACTAGCAGAAAAAGCTTTTGATAAAATACAGCACCGATTCCTATTTAAACACACACACACACACACACACTAGAGAGCATAAGAATAAATGGAGTTTTCCTTAAAATGATAAGCAGTATCTATCTAAAACCATCAGTTAGTATTAAATGTAATGGGGATAAGTTAGCAGCATTCCCAATAAGATCAGGGGTGAAACAAGGATGCTCATTATCACCACCATTATTCAATATTATAGCATTAGTAATAAGAGAAGAAAAAGAAATTGAAGAATTAGAATAGGCAATGAGGAAACAAAACTATCACTCTTTGCATATCATATGATGGTATACTTAGAGAATCCTAGAGAATCAACTAGAAAAGTACTTGAAGCCATTAACAACTTATCACACAAATAAAGTCAGATCTAAACAATTGGATAAATGA